GGGGGAGTGGGAGAGGGAGAAGCAGGCTTCCCACTGAGCAGGGAGCCCGATGCAGGGCTTGATCCCAGGACCCTGGGATCATGACCTGAGCCAAAGGCAGACGCTTAACGACTGAGCCACCCAGGCACCCCTATTTTTAAACTTTGTTAAGGCAAAAGTAATACTCCTTTTGAAAAGAATCTATTTATGTTTAAAATCTCACACACTTATCTATTGCAGTATAGAAGATACATTAAATCCTAAGGACTCAACAGATAAAGACTGATATACGTATTCTAGTTTAAAGAAAAAAAACACTGAATATATTTTTATTTTATTTTCTTCCCACCACCTACCCGCACTACAGGATGGAATCATTATACTTTCTATGTTTTCATAATTCATTATTATCTCTTTTTAGATCACATTTAATTTGTTTTCCAAGTTGATTAAAGTATAATAAACTGCATATATGTAAAATGTACAATCTGATCAGTTTCAACAGAGATGTATAGACCCTGAAACCATCACCAGAATGAATATATACATTATTCTAAACGTTTCCTTGAGAACATGTTTAAATCTGACTCATATTTTGGTTATTTGCTTATGTACTTATGTCCTGTATTGAATTATTATCTTGTGAGCTGGGACCGTGTCTTCCTTTTTTTGTAATTTCTCTTAATAAATCATGTTCATAAATAGGCAGCGAGAAAAGATTTGTTAAATTAGCCTATTAATGGAAGTTTTCTTTTGAAAAAAATAGCATATAATCATTTAATGTTAATGAAAGAATTTCAATACTTTTTGCTGTAATAGTTCTACTTTTGTTTGACCAGAGCTTTTTGTAGGTTTTAAAAAAATATTTCAGAATATATTTTTGTTGTTATATAATTAATTTCCCTTTCTGTGTGGCAGTTAGGTATATGCCAAGAAATTTGCTTGTTCAGCATGCAGTTCTTAAATCATACCATGTGTAATCTTTTATGAGTGTTTATAATTTTATGACCGTTAAAGATATTCTAACTTTATTTTCACTCTGTTTTTTCTTAGCTCATCCCTTCTTTTAAATGAGAAACAAATCCATGTGGCTTATTGGAAAGAATCTGACAAGTTGTTGTTAATTGGCCTGCCTGCTGAAAAGTAAGTTGAGATCTTTTTTTAACCTTAAAATCATTTCTAAAATACTGCTAACAAAGTCTGTTTCATTGAAATTATGATATTTTTGTCAAAAGCAAACTCCTTCAAACAGTTTTACAGTTTAAAAAGATCTGTTGCACCAGTGCAATAGCTACTATGTTAATTTGGTATTAAAAAATACAGAAAAGGGGCACCTGGGTGGCTCAGTTGGTGAAGCATCCAACTCTTGATTTCAGCTCAGGTCATGATGTCAGGGTCCTGGGGTCGGGCTCTGCGCTGAGCATGGAGCCTGCTTGAGATTCTCTCTCTCTCCCTCTGCCCTTCTCCCCACTCGCTCTTTCTCTCTCAAAATAATTAATTAGTTAATTAATTAATTAAAACAAAAACAGAAAAGTGCTGGGAACAATTAGTAAGGGCAGGGCTTTCAGTACACTTCCTTCTGAGATGTGGCCAGTACAGAAATGTCTGAGAGAATGACCTTCTCTGCTCAAACTTTTGACAAGTTCGTGGTTTGGATTTTATGTGTTCATAGTTTTTTACTGTTGGAGATTTTGGAGAATTATAGGTCAAGCAGAAAGGTGTTTGGCCCTGATGTTGAGCACCTTTGACAAAAATACAGTTGACCCTTGAACAACATGGGCTCGAATTGCATTGATCCACTTATATGTGGGGATTTTTTCAATAAATATATTGGAAAAATTTTTGGAGATTTGTGACAGTATGAAAAAACTTGCAGATGAACTGCATAGCCTAGAAATACTGAAAAAATTGAGAAAAAGGTATATCATGAATGCATAAAATACATGTAGATACTAGTCTGTTTTATCATTACTACCATAAAATATATACAAGGCTATTATTAAAAGTTAAAATTTATCAAAACTCATAAAAATTTATCAAACACTTGGATGGAGCAATTCACAGTTGAGAGAGATGTGAACAAATGTAAAGATGCAATATTAATTCATAACTGCATAAAATTAACTATAGTGCATACTGTACTACTGTAATAATTTCATTGCCGCCTCCTATTGCTATTGCAGTGAGCTCGTGTTATGATTATCTGCTTAAAACTTGCTGTGACACTGATCATCTCTGTATGAGCAGTTTGTCTTTCCAGTAAATTGTATATTGCAGTAAAAAGTGATTTCTCACAGTTCTTGTATATTTTTCATTGTGTTTAGTGCAGTGCATAAACCTGAATAACACCAGGAGACCCATATGAAGTGCCACTGGTAATGCTGGAAGTGCTCCCAAGAAGCAGAGAAAAGTTTATGACATTATAAGAAAAAGTTGAATTGCTTGATATGTACTGTAGACTGAGGTCTGCAGGGTGCCTGGGTGGCTCAGTCAGTTAAGCGTCTGCCTTCGGCTCAGGTCATGATCCCAGGGTCCTGGATCTAGTCCCGCATTGGGCTCCCTGCTCAGCGGCAAGCCTCCTTCTCCCTCTCCCTCTGCTGGCAGCTCCCCCTGCTTGTGCTTGTTCTCTCTCTCTGACAAAGTCTTAAAAAAAAAAAAAGATTGAGGTCTGCAACTGCAGTTGCCTGCCATTTCAAGATAAATCCAGCATACGGGCCATTGTAAAAAAGAAAAGGAAATGCATGAGGTTGTCACTTCAGTTACGCCAGCAGGTGCAAAAGCACTGCACTTTTTGTGAAATAGCTTTTTATCGTGTATTGAAAATCCAGCTTTTAGGTAGGTATAGGATTGCTATAAGAAAGGCATACCTATAGACTCTAATACGATTTAAGAAAAAGCAGTCATTACATGACAACTTAAGGCAAAAAGAAGGTGGAGGATCTAAAGTGAGAGGATTTAATGCTGGCAAAGGATGGCTTGACAATTTTACAAGGAGGTTTAACTTTAAAAATGTCAAGATAACAGGAGAAGCAGATTCTGCTAAGAGACAGCAGATGAGTTCCCAGGTGCCATTAAGAAAATCAGTGAGGAGAAAGGATATCTGCCTCAAGGTTTTTAATACAGACAAAAGTGCCCTATTGTGGGGGAAAAAATGTTGCATAGGACATTAGTAAAGAAGAAAAGTGAGCACCAGGATTTAAGGCAGGAAGGAATAGGCTAACTCTACCGTTTTGTGCCAACGCATTTGGGTTTATGATCAGGACTGCCCTTATCTATAAAGCTCATAAACCCCAAACCTTGAAGGAAAAAGATAAATACCAGCTGCCGGTCTTTTGGTTCTACAACAAGAAGGCTTGGACATTGAAAACCCTTTTTCTGGATTGGTTCCATTGATGCTTTGTCCCTAAAATCAGAAAGTACTTTGCCTTTGAAAATTCTTTTGATATTGGACAATGCCCCTGGCCCCCGAAAACCCCATGCGTTCAACACTGAAAATGTCAGTCTACTTGCCCCCAAACACAGCATCTCTAATTCAGCCTCTAGGGTTCATTACACATGGTACTTGGTGGAAAGGATTGTCAGAATTGAAAGAATAGAAGAAAACCCCGATAGAGAGAACATCATGAAAGTCTGGAAGGATTACACCACTGAAGATGCCATTGTTGTTATAGAAAAGGCCATGAAAGCCATCAAGCCTGAAACAATAAATTCCTGCTGGAGAAAATGGTGTCCAGATATTGTGCATGACTTCACAGGGTTTATGAGAGCCAATCAAGGAAATCATGAAAGAGCCAATTAAGGAAATCATGCCAAATCATGGATATGGCAAAAAGGTGGCAGGGCCAGGGAGGTGAAGGGTTCAAGATAGAGATCTTGGAGAAATTCAAGAGCTAATAGATACCACATCAGAGGGATGAACAGAAGATGACTTGATGAAAATGAATACTTATGAACCAGTGCTAAATGATGAAGAAGAAGACATAGAAGAAGCAGCGCCAGAAAACAAATTGATAGTAGATAATCTGGCAGAAGGGTTCTGATTATTCATGACTGCTTTGGACTTCTTTTACGACATGCTATGATATGGGCACTGATAACAAAGCAAATGGTGGAAGAAGGTTTGATATAATATAGGAATGTTTTTAGAGAAATGAAAAAGCAGAGAAATTACCATATATTTCTATAAAGTTACACCGAGTGTGCCTGCCTCTCTTGCTTCCCCTTCCTCCTCCACATCTGCTGCCTCTGCCGCCCCTGAGACAGAAAGACCAACCCCTGCTCCTCCTCCTCAGCCTACTCAACATGAAGATGATGGGGATGAAGATCTTTATGATGACCCACTTCCACTTAATGAATAGTAAATAATTGCCATGCCTATAGCTAATAAACTTACCTGTTGTGTATGTGTGTGTCTTCATGTGAAAATCTGATAATTGTACAGCAAGAACTGTGTCATCATCATCATCGTCTACATATTGATCGTGTAGAACACCATGTGCAAGACTCGTGTGGATGGGATCGAGTCCCACATCGGGCTCCTGGCTCGGCGGGGAGCCTGCTTCTCCCTCTGACCCTCTCCCCTCTCATGCTGTTTCTCTCTCTCTCTCTTTCTCAAATAAATAAATAAAATCTTTAAAAATATATATATATATATTACCATACAGTATGCCTCTCCTTCTTGTAACGGGCGAAAACTGCGTATCAGTCTATTATCACAGGTAAGTGATTTTTTAAAAAATGTAACAGTGTTTCCAGTACTGTGTTATGTATATAATATGGTATTTCCTAAAAATGTTTTAATGATTCATTCTCTAGTGTATGGGTTAGGCTACCATGAAGCAATACTGTCAGTTACACTCGGGTACCATAAAGCAATCATTGCTGCTGCTTCGTTATCAGTGGGTTGTCCGTAAATAGATATGAATTTCTTTTTAACATTATCTTTTCATTTTGGATGTTTAGTGTTAGTAACACGTGTAACATCTGTAGTGTCTTGTATTCTATAAGACAGTATTGACATAGGTACTAACAAATAGATGACTCATCTTGTAAACAGATGATACAAACTTATGGTATCGATTTCTCTTCTTACGGTTTTCTTAATAACATTTTAATAAACATTTTCTTTCCTCTAGCTTACTGTATTGTAAGAATACAGTGTATAATATATATGACATACAAAATGTGTTTTAATCAACTGTTTATGTTATCACTAAGGCTTTCAGTCAACAGTAGGCTATTAGTATTTAAGTTTTGGGGGGTTAAAAAGTTATACTTGGATTTTCAACTGCCTGGGGTATTGGGACCCTTAGCCCCTGCATTGTTCAAGGGTCAACTGTAACAAATATTTAACTTTAAAGTGACGTCTCTAATGGTATATCTTATATTATCATTTTCTCCTTCTTAACTTTTTGCAAGTATTTTGAAATATATCTTATTTTTATAGTTGGAGGTAAGAGCTGGGTTGACATTTATAATGAGCAGACTGTGAACCCAGGGACTGCATTAGGTAGTTTACATTCATTAATCTCATTTAATCTTCAAAATCATCCCCAGATGTACTTTGTGATCCCTGGCCCCATTTTATAAATGAGGAAAGTAAAACCAAGAGAAGATTAAATAACTTGCCAAAGGTCACATAACTGGCAAGAAGCAGAATTGCAAATTGAAGGAGAGTCTTTCTGAATTCTTTCTATTACATTGCTTCCCTAATGTCATTAGACATTAAAAGCTGTCGGGAAATGGGATAGGAATATGGAGAACAGCCCCAAGGAGAGGAATTTAACTAGTGTTAGACGAGTCTTGTGTCCCTGTTCAATGATTTTTTTAAAACTTGTGATTTAGACTCTTCCCTGCTTTAAAAAAGTGGGCAACTTCTATTAAACTATGAACACATTTTAGTTTTAACTTTTTGGTCCATAGAATCATATATTATCTGCCAAATAGTAATCAAATATCAAAATAAATACTATAGTATGTGAATGACACAACTTTAGGGAATGCCAGTTTAGATAACTTTTCTTTCTTTTTTTTTTTTTTTTTAAGATTTTATTTATTTATTTGACAGTGAGAGAGGGAACACAAGCAGGGGGAGTGGGAGAAGCAGAATTCCCACCGAGCAGGGAGCCTGACGCAGGGCTCGATCCCAGGACCCCGGGATCATGACCTGAGCCAAAGGCAGACGCCCAACGACTGAGCCACCCAGGTGCCCCTAGATGACTTTTCTTTTGGTGTTTCTTTAAGCTTCCCAAGGAAGAAAAAAGTATTATAAAATGCATTATACAGCCAATCTGAACACAAATGTGACTATTTTCTATTATTGATAATTTTGTTAACCAGATTTCTTTCATTATATAGCAGTGTATTAGTTATCTATTCCTGGATAACAAATTACGCCAAAACTTAGGGACTTAAAACGGTAGACATTTATTATCTCATAGGTGTTTTTGTGAGTCAGGAATTCATGAGCAACTTAGCTGGGTGATTCTGGCTCAGGATCTGTCTTAATGTTGCAGTCAAAATGTTGGCCAAGGACACAGTTATCTGAAGGCTGACCTGCAGCTAGAGCATCTGCTTCCAAGATGACTTACACACATGGCCATTATCAGGAGGCGTTAATTCCTTGCCACATGGATCTCTCCATAGAGCTGCTCGAGTGTCCTTACATGTCAGCTGACTTCCCCCAAAGCAAGTGATAGAGAAATAGATTTCTTCAAAATAGAGGAAGAGGGGAAGCTGACTTAGTCTTAGAAATGATGCAGTCATTTCCACCCTATACTGTTTGTTAGAAGTGAGTTAACTAAGTCCAGCCCACACTCGGGGAGGGAAATTAAGCCCTACCTCTTGAGGGGAAGAGTACTGAACAATTTTTGGACATGTTTTTATACCACAAACAGGAACTCCAAAAGAGGCTACAATGAAAAATATCAAAACAATTGTGTTTTAAAGGTATCTAACTTGGGACAGAAAGAGATAAGATCTATCATGAATGCGTGGTTCACATTTTTTTAAAATTTTGTTTCTGCTCTCATCTTTGTTATTTTTTTCCTTCTATTGCCTTTGGGCTTTGTTTGTTCTTTTTCTAGCTCCTTTAGGGGTAAGGTTCGGTTGTTTATTTGATACTTTTTAAAATTTATCAAGGTAGGCCTGTATTGCTATAAACTTCCCTCTTAGAACAGCTTTTGCTACATCCCCAAGATTTTGGACCATTGTGTTTTCATTTTCATTTGTCTCCTGTGTTTCCGGTGTGGTTCAGAATGTTTAACGTGAGGGGTGATGGTGCTGTGACATATACTACATGGTGTCTCTCTTTAACCAGCGAATTTGTATTTTTCTGTCTCAAAAGGGACTCTGACGATCCCCTCTAGAGTGCTGCCTTAGGCCAGTGGGTTGGATTATGAAAAATACAGTTGTTTTGAAAACCGATTATAAGCTACTTTAGGATGTAATGGCAGGGTAAAACATTTGTCTTTCAACTTTTATAATAGCCCAAAAGGTAGACGAAAGAAAGCAGGTAATGCAGTGGTATGCTACACATAGTAGACAGACTAGGGTAAGGAAGGCCCAGCTAAGGAACTGAGCAGAGACTGCTCAGCCACATTCTGGTGCTACCAGCCAGATTAATTATGCAGATAGAGACAGTTTGCGGGAGGGATTTTACCCTGCAGCCGAAAAAAGGTGGTCACAGCTGAGCTCTGGATCAAGGTTGTGCTGCATAGGGGATGTTCTAGCCAATTTCCCAATCTTTATTACTCGGTGGTAGGCATAGAGGGTGTCCCTAAATGTTAGTCATTCCTATCCTGGAGAACTTGGCTTGATAAATTGGAATGAATTTGAAGATCCCCTTTATTCCACTCTGTACCAGATTCTTTTCCTCATTCCGTCTTGTTTCACATAACCGTGAAAGATAGGAATTATTGGGCGCCTGGGTGGCTCAGTTGGTTAAGCGACTGCCTTCGGCTCAGGTCATGATCCTGGAGTCCCGGGATCGAGTCCCGCATCGGGCTCCCTGCTCGGCAGGGGGTCTGCTTCTCCCTCTGACCCTCCCCCCTCTCATGTGTTCTCTCTCATTCTCTCTCTCAAATAAATAAAATCTTTAAAAAAAAAGAGAAAAAGATAGGAATTATGATTCTAATATGTTCAAATTGAGAAATAGAGTATTGAGAGATCATGCACAAGCACCTCCTCATTCCCAATTAATAGGTCTTTGTGCCTCCAATGCTGTGCGTGTGGTTAGTAATTGAAGTGGCAGCCGTGGGATTTTTTTCCCATTTGTCTTAATGCCACAGCCTGTGCATCTTCCTGTTTGCCACTGTGCCTTTTACAAGCAAAATGAGAAAAGTGCTATCCCACAGAAAATCGGGTGGGGTGTGTAATCCAGGAATATGTGTTTTCAGAGGGGAGATCATCTTCCTGTGATGGCTGCAGTGTATAGTGGGAAACCCAATCAGGAAGTCCTTGTGAGCTAGTAGAATAACTTCAGAACTAAGAAGATGGATGCTCACAAGCAGGTTCTACTCCCTTTGTGTCCTTGCCCAAGTTACTTAATTTCTTAGGCCTCCGTTTACCCATCATGTAATAGGAATAATAAGACCTACTTTGTAGAATTTTTATCAGGCTTCAGTGAAAAAAAATGTTAAGTCCATTTCTTCTACGTTCTTTCCTTTCTCTATTTCATTTAGGGGTGTCTTTGGTCACAGGAGTTGGGAGGTTCACTTGAGATCTGGGTAATACTGGAAAGTGTCAAGAATTTAGCATTTTTTTCTATGGGCCCAGGTACTGCACTACTTTATATGCATTAATTTTATGTAATCCTCAAAATGAACCTGAGAAGGGCTTAGTGATTATTGCCCCACTTTACACATGAGGAAACTAAACCCTAGGGAGGCTTCAATAATTTCTGCACAGGTGGTGATATCAAAGTCCCTACTAGACCCATGCTAGAGCTCCAAATCTAGTCATCGGAGTCTTTAATTGCTAATACAGTAAACAGCCAGCTATACTAGCCGTTGACACACAGACTTTTCACATTCTTTATGTATAAAATGTAAAAATGTTCTGCTGCTTTTAGATATGTATCATTTGGTTATGTTATAAATGCGTTTGTGCTTTTTTTAGAGTTCCTCTTCCTCAGCTAAGGAATATGATAGGAGATGTTGCCCAAACCTTAAAATTTATGTATGGTTCTTTAGATAGGTAAGTACTTCTGTGAATTGAATCTCAAGTTTTTGTTTATTTGTTTTTTTAAAAAAAACTTTTGGTCACAGAATAAACTGATGGTTACCAGAGGGGAGGTAGGTGAGGGGATGGGGGAAATAGGTGATGGGGATCAAGGAGTGTACCTGATGTGATGATCACTGGGTGTTGTATGGAGGTGTTGAATCACTATATTGTACACCTGAAACTAACATAACACTGTATGCTAACTATACTGGAATTAAAAGTTAATAAAAAATAATATTAAAAAATAATGAAGATGGGGCGCCTAGGTGGCTCAGTCGGTTAAACGTCTGCCTTCGGCTCAGGTCATGATCCCGGGGTCCTGGGATCGAGTCCCGCGTCAGGCTCCCTGCTCACAGGAAGCCTGCTTCTCCCTCTACCTCTCCCCCTGCTTGTGTTCCTGCTCTCGCTATCTCTCTCTCTGTCAAATAAATAAAGAAAATCTTTAAAAAAAATAATGAAGATATCAATGCTCATAAAAAATGAATCTCAATTTTTAAGTGTATGATTCTTTTTTTTTAAAGTGAAGATATTTCTACTTTTTTTTTAAAGGTTTTATTTATTTGACGGAGAGAGAGAGCACAAGCAGGGGGAGCGGCAGGCAGAGGGAGATGCAGGCTCCCCGAGGAGCAGGGAGCCCGATGTGTGGGGCTCAATCCCAGGACCCTGGGATCCGGGCCTGAGCCAAAGGCAGTCGCTTAACCAACTGAGCCACCCAGGCGCCCCTAAGTGTATGATTCTAAATCCCTTTTGCACTTAATACTTTTCCTTGGTTGGCAAGTTAGTTATTTGGTTTTTTTTCTTCTTCCTCTAATTTTTTCATCCTTTATTACTGGCTTTATTTTATAGTTCTAGGCAGTTTTTCACTTGATCCATTGCTTTTTCTTTTTTGGTCTCATGTTAGTTTAGTGAAATAATGTGAAATAGTGATAAAACCACAATTATATTCTGATTTGACATATTTCTTTTTTCTTTTTTTTAAAGATTTTTATTTTATTTATTTGACAGAGAGAGAGATAGCGAGAGCAGGAACACAAGCAGGGGGAGTGGGAGAGGGAGAAGCAGGCCTCCCGCAGAGCAGGGAGCCCGATGTGGGACTCGATCCCAGGACCCTGGGATCATGACCTGAGCCGAAGGCAGACGCCTAATGACTGAGCCACCCAGGCGCCCTGACATATTTCTATAGTAGCAAATGTACAAACATTTCAAAACAGATACAGAAGAGATACAGAATTTTTTAAATGTTGTGTTTTTCTCTGATTTTATGAGAGCATTGTCAAATTTACTGTCCTAAAATGTGGTTCTTCTTAAAAAAATATTAGTAAAAAAATGCACTATTTAAATAAATAAATGACACAGTAAAAAAGGTATTGACTAGTTTCATGTGTATCATTTCATATCTTTTCTATACAATATGAATACAGTCCACATACTTTTTTAATATACATGGGCTCATATTATGCATATTTTTCCTGCTTCTTGCTTTTTTAACCTTATGGTAAAATATGATGCATTTTTCTTGATCTGAAGGAGGCAATTTGAGGTAACTTCAACATTTGAACCCATAAAATTATGGATGAAAAATAGATTTTTCTGTTTGTGGGATTTTTCTAAGTCCCAGAACTTCAGTGAACTAAAATGATACCTTTGCTTTCAAAGCCCTAAGAGTATATCAGTAGAAAAATCCAAAAACAGTTTATACGTTTTCCTAAACCATAGCGGCATCAGCTGTCTGTTTATCCATCATGGATCTTTGTTGTTGCTGTTCTCAAAGCAGCCTTGAAAGAATTTTCTGTGACTGTGCCATCGGTATTGTCTAGTTTGCAGAGTTCTCCTCCGAGCCTCTGAAGAGACACATCCCTCTCAAACCCAGTTACTAATTAGCATTTTCCAAACGTGTGAACTACAAAAGGCCGGGCAGCCACAAACAGTGCTTTTACCTTCTGTTAAATAAGAAAATTTTTAACCAATGAAGAGTAAGGGTATGGTTGTAAACTACCTCCGTAAATTTACACTGGGTGAGCAAACCTTGCTATGTTTTGCCTTAATTAAAGCTTTATGTTTTCATAAAACCAGAGATAATTAAAGATTAAATTCCTGCAATGAATTCCATACTTTAAGACAATCAATTGGGGTTGTTCTGCAGGTTGCAATGGACTAGGTTAGGGGCAGAGGGACTCTTAATTTCTGTGAATTTCATTTTGAAATTCAGCTTCCATTGACTTGGAAGTATCGCCAAATTGGCAGCAAATTTTAGATTCTTCTTGTTCTAGTGAGAAAGGCAAACTAAGATAGTAAATGTGAAGATCCATTGAGTTCTTAAGACCAAGAAGCAATAAGGATCCAAGATGTTGTTAGTAGTCATTTTGTAGCAATTTTTAATAAGCCTTTTTCTAATTATGAAAGATATTAAAGGCACATTGTGAAAAATTATGATAAGACTAAAAAGACTTAATTTTTTGTAAGTTGTAAGCTGGTTATTTCCCTGTGAGGCATAGAAAATTGATTATATATTGACAAAGTTTAATGTTGTGATCAAAGATATGTTTCCTTCACTATTCCCAGCCAAACTATCAGCAAATTCTGAACAGTCTGTCTCTAAAACATATCTCAAATCCATTCATTTCTCTCCATCTTCACTGTTACCCTGCCCAGCCACCAGCATCTCTCACTACTAAAACTAACGTAACTGGTTTCCTTGCCTCCGTTCTTGCCACTTTAATAAATTTCTAAATGCAATTAAAATTGATCTTTTTACAGGGGTGCCTGGGTGGCTCAGTCATTAAGCATCTGCCTTTGGCTCAGGTCATGATCCCAGGGTCCTGGTATCGAGCCCCGCATTGGGCTCCCTGCTCGGTGGGAGGCCTGCTTCTCCCTCTCCCGCTCCCCCCCTGCTTGTGGTTCCTCTCTTGCTGTCTCTCTCTGTCTGAACCCATAAAATAAATAAACAAACAAACAAACAAATAAATAAATAAATAAACAAATAAACAAATAAATAAAATCTTAAGAAAAAAAAGTGTTCTTTTTACATTATAATCTGGCTCCTACACACCTTTCTGATTTCACATCTGAAACCACAGTCTATTCTGTTCTGCGGGTACGCTCGCCAACCTTGTTCCCACCCTACAGCTTTTGTGCTTTTTCCTCTCACTGGATCTTCTTGACATTGGGATCTCAGCTTGAATACCCATTCTCAAAGACTCTTCCCCAACTTTTGATCTAAATTAGCCAACCAGTCACATCACCCATTCACATGATCCTATTCTCTGTATGGCCCTTTGTATGAGTTCATGTTTTTACTGTTTGTTCATTTGTTGTCTTTCTCCATCAGAATGTGAGCTCCATGGAAGCAGAGACCTTGTCTTTTGTCTTGATATTTTAATTACTGTACCTCCGACAGTGAGAATAGTGCCTAGAACATAGTTGGCACTCAAGCTGTTTGTTGAATGAATCCATGAATATTAGTCTGATGTATTAATGGTATATATACTAGTTATCGTGTTATCCAGAGGGCTATTCCAATGAATGGTTGCAGGCAATGCCGTATTATTTTTACATGGCTAAAACCAAATGTTTAGTCTGTCTCCCCTTTCTCTCTCTCTCTCTCTCTCTCTCTCTTCCTTTGAGTTCAATAGTGTTGCCTTCATTAGTGAAGAGGGGAAAATTACTTGGGCTAATTATGTGCTTTCTGTATTCAGTAAGTAATAAACATAATAAGTACTTATTATGTACTAGGTACTTCACATGTGAGTCACGTTGTATTATCCCCATTTTTAGAGATGGAAACAAAAGTTCAGAGAAAGGTTAGATCTTCCTGAGATACCTACCTAGTAAAAGCAGTGATAAGATTCAAAGCCTGATATGTTCTATTACAAAGCTCAAAATCTCTTTATTATTCCATCTTGCCTGAAAGATATTGGGAGTTTAAATGGTTAAGAGATAAGTAAAAGCAACTTACTTGCCCCCTCCCACAAAAAGGGTACTTCCAGCCCATTCTATTGTAGATACACCATTTGTGTTAGCCCTGTGGTTCTTCCATAATACCATCTACTCAGTACATTTGAAAGTAGGTTTTTGGGTAAAAAATATTGACAGGATGAACTTCTTAACACATTCCATCAGTAACATAGCAGTAATTCTTCATAAGGAGTAAAGAAGAGAGCCTGTGTAGTTGGGAAAGATCTAGTCTCTTTAGGAGCATACAAAAGATAACCACCGTTTTCACATGTTGTTCTGACTTACAGCTCTTGTTTCTTCAGTGCCTTTTGCCAGGTTGAGAATGTTCCTCGTTTGGATCATTTTTTCAACTTGTTCTTTCAAAGAGCACTTCAGCCTGCTAAACTACATTCCGGTGCCAGTCCGAGCGCACAACAATATGATGCTTCCAGTGCAGTGCTTTTAGACGGTCTCCCTGGAGTTCGATGGCTCATGCTTCCGCAGGAAATCAAGGTAATCTCGGGGGTCATAAATAAAAGTCAGAACCAGTTGCCTTGTGATTTTTTATTTTCTCTCTTTTTTAGACTTTTTGTTATTTTCAGGATTGTGGGTAAGAGTTAAAAGAAGCCATTGGTTAGTGAGGTAAGAGCTCCAGTACAGTGAACTTAGAAAGATAAATATTTCTTTCTAAATAGAAATTAGATCTCTCATCTTACTTTAACATTTAAGCGTTTTCCAAACTTACAATGCGTTTCAGAAATCATAATTATGTGGTATGTCTTCCTTTTGTTTGTTTGTCAGATGTTCTTTTTTTTAAATGTCATTTTTCCTAAGGTACACTGGAATAGTTTAAGAGAAAAGATACTTTGCGGGGCGCCTGAGTGGCTCAGTCGTTAAGCGTCTGCCTTCGGCTCAGGTCATGATCCCAGGGTCCTGGGATCGAGTCCCACATCGGGCTCCCTGCTCAGCGGGAAGCCTGCTTCTCCCTCTCCCACTCCCCCTGCTTGTGTTCCCTCTCTCGCTGTGTCTCTCTCTGTCAAATAAATAAATAAAATCTTAAAAAAAAAAAAAGAAAAGATACTTTGTCTGTTGTCTTAAGGAATGTCAAGAAACAATTACAGTAACCTTGTACATTAGCCTATAGAGTTCAGTAATGGGAATAGCAACCTTAAACATTAACATTTGTGAGATCAAAATTCACAAGTGGGTAATTTTCTTTTTGTCCTTTAGTTTTTCACAAGAGAAACCATAGCCCCAAAAGGAGTACATGAAATATTTGCTAGATAAAAATGTAGGTCACAAATGAGTAATAAGTAAATGTGTGAAAAGCATTGAAAGGCATGACTAATGTTTCCAAAGCTTTAGTCATCTCAGTAAGACACAGTTTGTGCAACAGTCCTGCAGAGAGTGCCTTGGCCCTTAAAAGAAAAAAAAACGGATTCTTTTCCACAAATCACATATATGCTACAACCTTTAAATGCCAATAGTTTTCAATTTATATATATGCATTACAGATTAAACTACAAATTAAATTTATTCTGTTTTTAAATTTTGAATGCTTCGTGGAGGAACAAATACATGAAAGAGTTCAGGCAATTTCCATAGAAACGAAAGCTAAATCCTAAGTAAGATTTTTCTAATAACTCTGTAGGGAAGCTAAACTGTGCCAGATTCCAGGGGAACACTTGCCTTCATGTTTTAATCCATAAATAAAGAGAGTCCTTTTATATAGAATGTAAGAAAGACACAGGGAAGAATGTTGATATTTTCAAAGAATCTAACTGTTGAGAAATACACAGGAAATAGAAGGGGGAAAAAAGCCTCAAAATAGATTGGGTACATTAAGATTGATTATTTTTCTCTTAAGAATTTTAATAGGTTCAAAAATTTTCTAACTCAAAACTGGAAAGCAATTTTTAACCTCATAAATTATTTTGCATTGAATACAGAGTGAAACTCATTTTGCAATAATCTAGATTTAATTGAAAAGTGACTGTATGTTAAATAAATTTTTTTATGTAATTCCAAAGTTTAAAAGCAACATGTTCTATTTTGGGACATTTCTTAAATATCACAAAAGAGAAAGATACTTACTCAATTCTTCAACTAATTATTAAGCACTTTTATGAGGCCATTACTAAACAATAACTAATATGAGTTAAATGGTTTGTGTTACTTTTTTTTTTCTTTTCACATAGATGGACCTAGACACAGCATTGAGCGACTTGGAGGCTGCAGATTTTGCAGAACTGGTGAGAGAACCAATGGATTTTAGGAAAGGCTCAATGTTGATTTCATATTTTATAAATCAGCCATTATTCTAAATATTTTTCAAGTGGGCATGTAATAATCTTGAACTATGTAGCATTGGGTCTCTATTTTGACATGAACAGAATCTATTTTGCTTGCCTTAAAATTTTCTACTCAGTTAAAAATATTTGTTACATAATGTGTACATAATGATTAATTGCATTTAGAATCAATAAGAACCAGTCTTTGAGAGAAAGTACATAGATTAATAGTAAAGTAAATAATTGAATTGTAATACTGAAGTAAGTAAAAACCCTATAGATACAAATTTCAATTAGAAGTACCAGTATGGTTTTTAATCTTTTTTAAAAAAATATATTTCCTAGCTCCGTCTGATAAAAAGGCCTAGAAATAGTGGTCATCTCAGTAGTGATGAATGCCATTAGCACCCAGGCTATGGCATATAAATAATACTTCTCACTAAAAGGAACCAAGACTCCTACGAGAAATGGCTGATTGCAAATTTGGGGCTGAAAATAATACAAGATAAGCCTGGCAACGTCTTGTTACTTCAGAAATCCAGAAAGCTTTAAAAAATATGGGGTTAATGTAGGGTTCCAGTAATTAGGAGACAACTTGAAGAGGCTCCCACTTGAGCATCTGTAAGTGTAATAACTGCAGCAGATTGAAACCCATCAGATATGTTGAAGTCCATGAGTTCATAATTATACTCAAGAAAAAAAGAAACTTCTTGGTCAACTTTGGAGGATGCTAGGGAACCAATTCATTACTGTGAAAACTGGCAACAAAGAGAAGGAAACAAACATTTATCTGCCCTTCTATCTGAACCATACCTCAGGGTTACCAAATAGAGATGAGGGGGAGTTCTCTTTATGGAAGTATTCTACTTAACATACCAAGAAAGAATGACAGAACTGGAATATTACCGTATTGCAATTTTCACAATGAATTAATGGGTCTAAGCAAAGGTCATCAGTAGTTGTTACTATCATGAAAAGGAAGACAACCAAGTAGTATGTGGCTCATGATGGAAGCACACAAATTACTTATAAAATATTTTTGATGAGGTCTCAAGATCTAACTACCACTATATACGAAATACTAGGGACAGGGACATGTTAAATGACCCCATTGGGGGGGCGAGATTATAATCATCAAATCCAGACTAGGAAACACAATAAGACAATTTCTTCAACAAATAAAAGGGAGTGGGGAGAAACTGAGAGAGCCTATCAGTCACAAGAGACTTAAGAACATATCAACCAATTTTAATATGTGGACCTTACTTGGATCCTGATTCAAACAAACAAAATTTTTAAAAACATCGACGAGAATTGTGGAAGACTGATGAATCACAGACCTGTACCTCTGAAACAAATAATACATTATATGTTGTTTAAAAAAAGAAAAAAAAGAAGATAGTAGGAAGGGAAAAATGAAGGGTGAGGAATTGGAGGGGGAGACTATGGACTCTGAGAAACAAACTGAAGGTTCTAGAGGGGAGGGGGGTGGGGGGATGGGTTAGCCTGGTGATGGGTATTAAAGAGGGCACGTTCTGCATGGAGCACTGGGTGTTATACGCAAACAATGAATCATGGAACACTACATCAAAAACTAATGATGTAATGTATGGTGATTAACATAACAATAAAATAAAATTTGAAAACAACATCTACGAGACAATCAAGGAAATATAAACACTGATGTTGGATATTAGGTGAGAATAATTTTTTTAAATCCTTCTGTTTTAGAGATATACTCTGAAGTATTTACAGATAAAATCATATAACATCCGTTACTGGTTTTGAAATAATTCATCAGGGAGAGGAAAGAAGGAGAGAGGGATATTGATGAGACAAGATTAGCCATGGACTGGTCATAGTTAAAGCTGGGTGATGATGGGCACATAAGAGCTAATTACACGATTCTATGTTTGTATTTGCTAAAATTGTCAGTAAGAAAAGTTCTTTTAAGGGGTGCCTGGGTGGCTCAGTTAAGTATCTAACTCTTGGCCTCAGCTCAGGTCTTGATCTCAGGGTCATGAGTTCAGGCCCCCCATTGGGCTCCACGTGGGGCATGGAGCCACTTAAAAAAAAGGAAGAAAAATTCTTTTAAAAGTAAATGGTGGGGAGAGAGGGGACCTGGGTGGCTCCGTTGGCTAAGTGACCTGATTTCAGCTCAGGTCATGATCTCAGGGTGCTGGGATGGAACCCTGCCCCAGCCCTGGAGGGAGTCTGCTTGAGGATTCTCTTTCTCCCTCTGCCTCTCACCCCCTCTTTGCATGCGCATGCTCTCTCTCTCTCTCTCAAATAAATAAATCCTTAAAAAAAGTAAATGGGAAATTAGGATGTAGAAGCAGTGAGGGCTGGATCATAAGAAGATTGCTGGTAAAATCTTGATTGCTTTAAAGAGTACCTTAGTCTTTTTTTTTTTTTTAAGATTTTTATCTTAAAAATTTATTATTACAAGCAGGGAGAGCAGCAGAGGGAGAGGGAGAAGCAGGCTCCATGGGGCTCCATCCCAGGACCCCAGGATCCTGACCTGAGCTGAAGGCCGACACTTAGCCACCCAGGTGCCCCACGAGTGGCTTAGTCTTCACTAAGATCCTGAGCAAATGGAAGCATATTTTGTTTGTAAAAATAATGGAAACTTAAACGTGGTGAACTCCTCATAGGTCATAAATCTTTTCACTGATGGAGAATGTTTAGATAGACACTAAGCATTAGGAACAGTTTAAAGTATTAAAATATTAAAACAATATTTTCTATGATTAGACAAAGATCTATTGAGATTCCTTGGATACAACATCAAGACACAATCTATAAAGAAAGAAGAAAATTGATAAATTGAGAATGTAAGATGGTACAACTACTTAGGAAAGCAGTTTGACAGTTTCTTAATAACCTAAATATATACCTACCACATGATTCAGTCATTCTGTTCTTCCAATTACCCAAGAGAAATGAAAGCCTATGTCAGTACTAGACCTATACACAAATATTCATAACAGCTGCATTTGTAATAGCCAAAAGAAAACTGGAAACAATTCAGGTAACTCAAGTCCATCAGTGGGTTAATAGACAGACATATTGTGGCATGTTCATGCAAGGGAATACTACCCAGCAAAAAAAAGCAGTGTTGATGGAATTGTTATATATCTTGATTTTGGTGATACTTAACATAGCTATACACATTTGTTGAAACTGGCAGAATAGTGGTACCTGGGTTGCTCAGTTGGTTAAGTGGCCTACTCTGGGTTTTAGCTCAGGTCATGATCCCAAGGCCCTGGGATCGAGCCCTGCGTTGGGCTCACGCTCATCGTGGAGTCTACCTGAGGATTCTCTCCCTCTCTCTCTGTGCCCTTCCCCTCCTCTGTCTCTCGAATAAATAAATAAATCTTTTTTAAAAATTGGCAGAACAATTCACAGTGAATTTTACCTTAAAAAATGAAAATAAGGGTCTATTCTAAACTTTCTGTGAAATTAGATTTAAGATTTAATCTTGTATCCTAATTTTGTTTTCTTTAGTTTTAAAAATTATTATTAAGGTATAATTTATATTTGGTAATAAATTCTTCTGTGCCCCTTTATAGTCAACCCCTCTTCCTACCTCCAGCCCTTGGCATTTGTTTTGTTGATTTGTTTTTTGTCCCCAGAATGTCCTATAAATTGAATTAGATAATAGGTAATTTGGGGGGGCCTGACTTAGTTCACTTAACATAATGCATTTGAGATTCATTCATGCCATTGTATACATCTGTAATTTTGTCCTTTTTATTGCTGAGTAGTATTCCATTGTATGAATGTATCACACTGTTTATCCGTTTCCCAGCTGAGAAATAATTAGGTTATTTCTAGTTTTTTAGTTTTCCTTAGGTTTCATTGCCTTTTTTATTTTTAAGATTTTATTTATTTATTTGACAGAGGGAGAGAGAGAAAGCATAAGCAGAGGGAGCAGCAGGCAGAGAGAGAAGCAGGCTTCCTGTGGAGCAGGGAGCCTGATGCAGGGCTCGATCCCAGGACCCTGGGATCATGACCTGAGCCGAAGGCAGACGCTTAACTGACTGAGCCACCCAGGCATCCCTCGTTGCTTTTTTTTTTTTTTAATTACAAAATTAATACATGCATATTGGGTAAAATGCAAGTGTGATTATTAAAAACAAATGTCCCACCTCCTCATCCCTCTCTCCCAGTTCTATCCCTAATTGTAACTGTTCTTACAGTTTTCTTACAGTTTGAAACATATTCTTCCAGACTTTTTGCTATACACATATGTACATAGGTACATACACAGCAGCACACATGTATACACATACAAGTATATCATTGGGGGTGGTATTCTTTTTTAAAAATTAGATCATAGTGAGTATTTTGTTCTGTAGCTTGCATTCTTTGCTCAGCAGTATACCCTAAAACCTTTTGTGCCTGCTCATATAGATCAACCTTATTTTTTTAACAGACCTATGATAGTCCATGGTATGAACATACCTAATTTTATTAACCATTCTCCATTGTTGCACTTGACTTTATCTCCAATTTTGCATATTACAAATAGTTCTGCTACTAACTTTTTATACAAAAATCTTGATTCTCCTGTTTGAGCATTTCTGTAGATTTTTAGAACTGGAATTACTCAAAGGGTATATTTAATTTTTTTATATATACGAATTAGTTGCTCCCAAATAGGTTGTATCAAATTTTACTTTCAAAAATATTATTTGGAAATTTAAAAAAATCATTCAAAAATATTATTTGGTAGTATAGGATATTTTAGATGATGTATAGTAGAAGCTTTTTGTCTTGATAGACATGTTTTAATCCCTCTTGCACTAACTAATCTTATGTTCTATTCTCAGAGGTCTCTAATCAACAGTATCTTAAAAGATTAAAAAAAAAATTGTTCTCAGTCAAAAATACATGCACATTATCTTTCACCCTAATACCCTGGTATATTCATTTCTAAAGAAGACACTATGAAAAGTTCAGTTATGAAATTATATAATTGCCATTTTAACCATTGTAGCCTAAGATTTTTTTTATCATGAAAAAACAAAGAATATAAATCCATTGTGGTTTTTCTTCTCCAGTCTGAGGATTACTATGACATGAGGCGGCTGTATACAATTTTAGGATCTTCTCTATTTTACAAGGTAAGTTGAAGCTTGAAATTTTTATAAATGTCCAACTGCTATATGAACAGACCTAAAGTGAATTTTCTCAAACTTCTACTAACATGAAAAATACATTTATCCCTTTTCCTTTGAGTGTAGTTACCGTTAAATTAAAGTCTTAAAAAAAAAAAAAAGTTGGTACCTACATATTTACAAATACAATAAATATTTCTGATTTTATGACATTCTAAAGCATTTGCAAATGTGTAAAGGAGAAACAATACTCAAGGAACCAAATGCGTAATAGAGAAAAGCAATACTTTCTTGATTTATTTTTGCAACAGTGCACTTTTTTTCTTATCTTCAGACATAAACATGTATCTTTTTAGTAAATCTAACATTTAGTTGACTTCCATATACAGCAAATTGAGCATCAAATGAATTTAAGTATTTTCATATTTCAAGAAGATTTTTTTTTTTTTTTAAAGATTTTATTTATTTGACAGAGCACAAGCAGAGGGAGAGAGAGGGAGAAGCAGGTTCCCTACTGAGCAAGGAGCCCAATATGGGACTCAATCCCAGGACCCTGGGATCATGACCCAGGCCGAAGGCAGCCGCTTAACCGACTGAGCCACCCAGGCGTCCCTCAAGAAGATTTTTAAACACAATTTAAAGCATAGCTAAAGAAGAATCCGACAGTACAGAGTGGTACACAGTGAAAAATAAGTCTCTCCTCACCTTACCTCTTGCTTTTCTTCTCCACTTTCCATCCTCAGAATTCAGTTCTTTTCCAGTGTTGCCAAACACTCCGGCTTACACTACTCAGGTGACGTTGCTTGGTGCTAAAGTCTATCTGCTGTTGACTTAACCATAAATCTTGGATCTCTAATTGACCTCAGGAAAAAAAAACATTTATTTTTACTATGTCTTTATTCCATTTGAAACTGGAATATTTTAAGACAACTGAAGTACCCAAGAAACTCTTAGAAATATATTATGGCATTACTGCTTTATATCACTGGTTGACTCCTCTTCTTTGTGGTTGAATTCAAGGGTTATTTAGTATGCAGCCATTTGCCTAAGGATGATCTTACTGATATTGCTGTGTACTGTCGCCACTACGGCCTACTGCCTTTAGCAGCAGAACGAAGAATTGGTCAGTTGGTTATATGGAGAGAAGTGTTTCCGCGACATCACCTCCAACCTTCTACAGACTCAAACACTGAGGTCTTTCAGGAACCTGAAGGGAGATATTTTTTGCTAATTGTTGGATTGGTAAGTTTACCTTGGTTTCTGTGTGTGTGTCTGTGTTTTGGGGTTGGGTTTTTTTGGCCATTCACTATCTAAAATATATACACAAACGAACATAGTAATTTAAAATTATGAGCATGTCAGATACCAGTATTCAAGAAAATGTTATATGTCCCTTACTCCTTTTCTTTTGCATCCATTTAATACTCATGGAGAAATATTAATGAAATCCAGAATAAGATTTTATCAGGTTCTTAAGATCTTTTGTTCTCATTTCTATAGTGGTTTTATCCTCTGGTTTGTCTTGGGAAATAGAGACATGAAAAGGATATAGAATCAGAATAAACATGTCATTGTAAATGAAAGGACTTCCAATAATTGTGGCTCTTTGAAAACTACCTTGTGCCATGTGCCAGAAGTGGTAGTTGATGGTATACCAGGAGAAGGCAATATGAATGAGGATTTGTTTTCAAGGATGATCAAGGGGCGTCTGGGTGGTTCAATCGTTAAGCGTCTGCCTTCAGCTCAGGTCATGATCCCGGGGTCCTGGGATCGAGCCCCGCATCGGGCTCCCTGCTCTGCGGGAAGCCTGCTTCTACCTCTCCCACTCCCCCTGCTTGTGTTCCCTCGCTGTCTCTCTCTCTGTCAAAAAATAAATAAAATCTTTAAAAAAAAAAAAGATGATCAGGAAGCATTGAGAATAACTAACACAGAAAGGGAGGAAGGAGTTTTTAATAATCATATGATTATGTCATATGTTTTTAGTATTCATAAATGTATACATGCATGCTACATATAAACATTTTCATGTAGCTAAACCTGTATTAATATTTTTTCCTTATAGAAGCATTATATGTTATGTGTACTATTAGAAGCTGGAGGCTGTGCATCCAAAGCTGTTGGGAATCCTGGACCAGACTGTATCTATGTGGATCAGGTCAAAACAACTCTTCACCAACTGGAAGGAATAGATTGTCAGATCAATGAACGGCTAACATCTTCTCCAAGCCCCTGTTTGTCTTGTGCTGACTGGTTCCTTACTGGATCACATGAAAAATTAGATAATTTGACAACCTCACCTATCCTCAGTAGGCTACCAGGTACTTCCAAGGTAGCAACCTCTCCAACATGCAGAAGAATTCTTTTTGGTGACTATTCCTTAAAGACACGTAAGCCCAGTCCTTCCCAGAGCAGTGGAGGATCTGACAATGGCTGTGAAGGTGGAGAAGGTGTTGGCCTGAGCCCCCACACTATACCCAATGCCATATGGAAACAAAGAGAATCTCAGGGCTCTGATGGTCCAGAAAAAAGTGGGGCCTTGCTTAAGGTGTGTGTTCATTCAAGTGTGTACATTTTGGGAGTAAAGCTGTCTTTTAAGTTCTTATTTTATAAATGCAAGAAATTTTTTTTATATTCAGTTAGCCAACATATAGTACATCATTAGTTTTTGATGTAGTGTTCAATGATTCATTAGTTGCGTATATACACCCAGCGCTCATCACCCCATGTGCCCTCCCTAATACCCATCACCCGGCTACCCCATTCCCCCAACCCCCTCCCCTCTGTAACCCTCAGTTTGTTTCCCAGAGTCAAGAGTCTCTCATGGTTTGTCTCCCTCTCTGATTTCTTCCCATTCAGTTTTCCCTTCCTTCCCCTGTGGTCCTCGGCACTATTCCTTATGTTCCACATATGAGTGAAACCATATGATAATTGTCTTTCTCTGCTTGACTTATTTCACTTAGCATAATTCCCTCCAGTTCCATCAATGTCAGTGCAAATGGTAGGTATTCATCCCTTCTGATGGCTGGGTAATATTCCATTGTATATATGAACCACATCTTTATCCATTCATATTGTGGACATTGCTGCTATGAACATTGGGGTGCATGTGCCCCTTCTTTTCACTACATCTGTATTTTTGGGATAAATACCTAGTAGTGCAATTGCTGGGTCATAGGGTAGTTCTATTTTTAACTTTCTGAGGCACCTCCACACTGTTTTCCAAAGTGGCTGTACCAACTTGAATTCCCACCAACAGTGTAAAAGGGTTCCCCTTTCTCCACATCCTTGCCAACAATTTGTTGTTTCCTGTCTTGTTAATTTTAATGCAAGAAAATTTTTAATGGCAAATCATTCTTCATTCGAACTAGTGGTATTTTTGGTTACTGTTGGCAAACCAGTGATTTAGAACCAAAAAGAGAAAGAAATATCGAGTAATAAAATAGTAGCATCCAGGACAGCTGCTTGACACTACTTACAAGTAGGGAAATTGCTTAATCCTGCTTTCCCTGTTCATCTTCCTTCTGTATTCAAGTGTTAACTGAAAACATCGTAGTTGTGGGGGATTTTAGAGGGCTGATCTGACTAAATAACCAATAAAATATTCAGTAGAAACAAAAAATCAGAAATTTATATATAAATATATAAATGTAAAAAAATATATATAAGTATATATGTGTAAATATTTGTGTGTGTATGTGTTACTCTACAGGTTTTTATAGGGTTTTTTTGTTTTATTTTGTTTTTATCTGCTTCTGTGAAGGTCTGGTCTCCACAGTCCAGAATTTAAAATGTGATTATAAAGCAAAGAGAATGTTCATTTTTTAGATTGTTTGTTTTTATGATTTTTCCATGTTTTTTCTCCACAAAAATACCATAACATATCCAAATGATCATCACAGTAATCACCCTGGGGGATCTTATACTTACTCTAATGATGCTTTTCTTTCAAAACACTTTTGAAACTGTCATCTGGGTTGGTGGAGGTGATGCCAACAAGGCATGGAGAAGGAGGAATCTGAGAAGGGGCACAAATAAGACATGAGATTCTGAGTGTCATGGCATAAATAGCCATAGATTCCATCTTCTAATTCCAAACAATACAGCACTCTTGGAGCCCTAAGTGGATGTATTTAGGAAATACATTCTTATTCGTTATCCCAGTCAGTGAAATTGGTAGGAAGCATAATTTAGGGGGTAATAGATTTAAAGAGCCATGAATTGCTCTTAAGAGAAATTGAATCAGGGCGCCTGGGTGGCTCAGTCAGTTAAGCATCTGCCTTCAGCTGAGGTCATGATCGCAGGGTCCTGGGATCGAGCCCCGCATCGGGCTCCCTGCTCCGCAGGAGGCCTGGTTCTCCCTCTCCCACTCCCCCTGCTTGTGTTCCCTCTCTCACTGTGTCTCTCTGTCAAAGAAATAAATAAAATCTTTAAAAAAAAAAGAGAGAAATTGAATCAATCTTTATGATTGAGCCATTAAACAAATTTGATTGAACATCTACTATGTGCCAAGGACCATGCTACACAGAGGAGATACAAAGCTGGATAAGATACAGCCCATGGCTTTGAGAAGTACAGTCTAGAGAGGGAGGCAAGTACATATACATATAAAATGTAACAAAACTTGATAATGGCTCTGGTAGGTTTTCAAGAAGAACTATCATGTCCTAAGACATGGCCCTGAGATCACTGTTAGCAAAGGATAAACCAAGAGGTACAAGTTAGCATCAAAAATATTTAAAGGAGGGCGCCTGGGTGGCTCAGTTGGTTGGGCGACTGCCTTCGGCTCAGGTCGTGATCCTGGAGTCCCGGGATCGAGTCCCGCATCGGGTTCCCTGCTCGGCAGGGAGTCTGCTTCTCCCTCTGACCCTCCTCCCTCTCATGCTCTCTGTCTCTCATTCTCTCTGTCTCTCATTCTCTCTGTCTCAAATAAATAAATAAAATCTTTAAAAAAAAAATATTTAAAGGAAACATTGCAAAATAGTAAGTAGTTCTCTTAGAAGGATTTTCAGTTTTTACACTATTTCTGCTGTTTGATTCCATTCTTAGATACAAACTGATCTACTTAACTGTATTTTTCAGGTCACTAAAAAGAAGGCTACTCTTCCAAATCCATTTCATTTGGGGAACTTGAAAAAGGACCTTTCAGAAAAAGAACTGGAAATATATAACACAATGAAGTAAGAAACTTCCTTATAATATTCTTTTTCACTTAAACATCGTGTCTTTGAGAAAATTTTACAATAGGAAGGTACAAATCCATACCATATAGAGATTTAATTCAAAAATGTAATTACGATATATCTTAACATTATTAAAGATAGTGTCTATGCTAATTTACTAATGTTTTTCATTGCACGTATAGGGAATATGTACTCCTATTACAAAAGATAAAAAAAAATAGAGTAATGTTTCAAAATGTGAAAGTCCCCCTTTATCTCTTTTCCACAGGTAACGTCCCTTTTGTATGTCTAATTTTTAAATTATAGAATTTACTATTTTTAGACTTTGGTGGATTCTGTGGTCTGCTGCCCAGATACCCCATAGCCCAGGGTACTCCTTCCCAGTGCTGGGGGTTGGGGGGTAATGGGTGTTAACTACTTAGAGCTGAGTCCCTCACTGGCCTTGTTCTCTTTGGAAGTTTATTGACTCAGCCAAGATTACAGTATCTCCCTGGGAATAGCCCACATCTAGTGACTAATGGATAAGTGAATACAAAGACTTGACAACTCTAAAAGGCCATCCAGGCTTCAGAGTTCCAAGTAGTATCTGCTGAGACCTTTGTTTTGACTGCAGTGTGGTTCAGCTTCTCCTTTGCTCAGTCCTGCTTCCTTCACACTTCCCCCACAGGTGGTGTTCCCCAAAGTTCTCCCTAATAAACTTGCTCGCTGCATATCTCTCAGAGTCTCTCATTTTAGGAAAGAGATGAAACTTCAAACTTACATTAAGTAGGGAATTCTGAAGTAAAAGGAACTGAGTGAGAGGAGCATTTTCATCAACTTAAGTTGTCTATAATTATTAAAATATAAAATGTTGCATATTCACTTCTTGTGTAGCTATTACATGGTGACAAGCAGATCTGTCTGAGCTTTGCCTGATGTTTAATTATATCGTGTGGGATCAATTAGTGTATAACAAACACAATTGCACACTTTTATTTGAACAAGCAGACATGTACAAATAGAAATCATACAAAAAAGTTCACTATGACCTTCTTAATCATTGAAGCATTTTATAGTAAGTTCAAATATATATGTCACAGAGTTGTCAGAAACAGCTTTTTTTCTGAAGTTAAGGCAAAAACAAGGTAATTTGATCTAATGTGTTAAATTTGGTATTTAATGCCTTCAAATATCATGGCTAATTTTTTAATAGTTAAAAATGTTTTTTAAGCAAATCTAAATCAAACCTTTGTGGAGCTTTGAAACACCTTTCCAAAACCCTAGTCTTCCATTTAACAAAAACTGCTGTGAAATTTTATTACCCCTACATCTTATTTTTTTAATATGTATGTTATTTTGGCCTTATCTCTAGTAAAAGGAAATGTTTTCCAAGTTCAGTGGCTTAAACATAAATTCATATGTGATGTAAATCATAGGCTGTCTATTTAAAAAGATGATACAGATGCATATTTATTCTCTTTATTGACATGGGAAGACGTTCATACTATGTAGTTAATTTTAAAAGTGTGACAAACCAGTATATAATAGATTATCCTAATTTGTACGTACATGTTTTTGTAAAATAAAAATATATAACATGTTAAAAATAATAGTACCCACAGTTCATTTAGTAACCGAATCCTATCTGTTCTACATTCTCATAATTATTTAATCCATTTAACCCTTACTCTACCTCCTGCAGATCAGGCTCCCATTCTCTAACCTGGTTTTACTGCAATAGTCTCCGAACTCACAGCCTACCCTGAATCCATTTTCTGCTGCAGGAATGACCTTTCCAAAGAATAAATCTGTCTTAATCTGTACTTTTACAAATACTGTGTCTTCCCAATGGGTAATTGCTTGTTTGATGATTTTTAAACTTTCCGTGTATACACTGAGTTAATATACTCTGAGTTTATGATTTTCTTTTTTTTCTTTTAAAGATTTTATTTATTTATTTGACAGAGAGAGAGAGAGCACAAACAGAGGGAATGGGAGAGGGAGAAGCAGTCTCCCCTCTGAGCAGGGAGCCTGATGCGGGGCTCAATCCCAGGACCCTGGGATCATGACCTGAGCCAAAGGCAGAGGCTTAACCAACTGAAACACCGAGGCGCCCCGAGTTTATGATTTTCAAGAGCTAGTTTTGCTCATTGTGTTGTCAGGGTTTTTTGTTGTTGCTGTTGTTTGCTTTTTTTGAGAGAAAGTAAAAAAGACAACAAAAATGTTAATTCTAAACCTCCCTAAAAAGGAATCTTATTAATAGCTCTTTTTAAAGAATCATTTCTGTTCTGTACGTTTTCTTGAATTTGAAGACCTCTGGATTAAAATGTATGTTTTAAATTATTTTCTTTTTTGAGTAATCATAATTCCTTTTATCTTGACAGATATTTTTTATTAATTGAAAAATATCAGCCACCAGTTGTTAGTGAGCCAGCTACCTTCTGGAAAAGTATGAGAAAAATTTATAGATGATCTCCTTTCCTGTCTATCCCTGGTCTCAAAAGAGAACCAAGGCCAGTCACTAATAAGAAGGAGAAATTATTCTGATCCTACGGCCTAATTAACAGTTTAACAGGAGTTTAACTAGCATGGATGATTAAGGCAGGCTGTAGGCTAAGAGTGGAAATATGCCTTTTCTTTGCCCCTGTGCTTAAGGCTGGGGGAAAAAAAATCAACTGGAGGGATTTCTTTTAAATAGACATTAGGATTAGAATGGGGGCAGCTTGAATGTTTGAGATACAAATGGAGAATTTCTGTCCATATGTTTAAAGATTGCCAATCAGAAGTCATCAATGGAGAGGAAAAAGCAAGGTTTAATGGAGGAAGCTTCAGAGTTAGCTCAGCTCAGCCACTTAGCTATGTGACCTGGATCAAGCAAGTTAATCTGAGATCTCTGAAGATTGATTTCCTCATGGTTACAATGAGAGTAGTAATACTATTGAACATCTCACAGGGTCATTATGAGAATTAAGACTAAGGTATTTTAAAGCACCTACCCTGGCACATAGAGGGTACTCAGTATATGATTATTATTATTTTGTTGTTGCTGTTATTGTTGTTCTTTAGCTCTTCTTACCGCTGGTAGAAATAAGCAGTATTTATAGATTCTACTGGCCTGTCTGAGACCTAAATAGGGGAAGAAAGGATGGAGAAGAAGAGTGGAGAAATGAAAACAGTAAGAGAACATGGAAGGGAAGGAAGACTGTAATGATGAGTAGTAGAACACTGCAAGTAATTGCCATAGTATTCCAGAATATTAACCCAGCTTTGCAGTTGGTAATAATAATTTTATTTTTCTTCAGGATCATCAATTTGACTGTTATGCTACTAACTTAAATGTGTTTATTTTGTTGGAAGATGTTCTTGTATGTGGTCAACTCTAGGCTGATACCTTATTCATGACTCGTAGGGATCTGGGCCAGATAGGGGCTGAGTTATTTATTACCAACCATGGAAAAAGAGGGGTTTAGCCAACTTGGGTTGTTTGTTAAGTTAAGTTGTTTGTATTTGGTGTATATTTATCTTCACATACCATGTGATATTTGCCTCCATTAAGGAATCGATAATAACCCTAGCCTGTACCCTAGTTAAGGAGAAAATGGGACTTAAATGGTTGGCCTAGTTTCCCTGCCCTGATTAAAAGCTTGGAGTCTACAACATTCAAAATGAAGCAATATTTTTAAGTTTACTTAAATATCTTTTTTCTTTTTTTCTTCTTTTTTTGTTCTTTTCAAGATTAACATCTGGTCCTGAGAACACACTTTTCCACTATGTTGCCTTAGAAACTGTGCAAGGGATCTTTATTACTCCTACCCATGAAGAGGTGGCACAGCTAAGTGGCTCTATCCACCCTCAACTAATAAAGAATTTCCATCAGTGTTGTCTCTCCATTCGTGCAATTTTCCAACAGACATTGGTAGAAGAGGTATAAATATAGTTTTGTCAATTCTGTTTCCAGATTTCTAAATATTCTCTCTAAAAGCTCTTTAACCAGTATGTCCAACAATGACAGTTTTTATATAAATTTTTTTTAGCAGTCACCCAATCTAACTAGAGTACACAATCTAACTTGAGGCCAAAAGGATTATACTCACAATATTTAACTTAAAAGCTTTGTTTCATAATACTGATTTTGATGTCCTGGAAAGCTATTCCAGAAAATGGAGGACCTGTGTTTTTCTATAGCAAAGTAGAATGTGGTAGTTTATAATGTAAATTAGCCTCCATGTTTGATATCTGTGAGTCAGCCATTACTTGGACAGTAGTATCTACCAGTTAAGTCTGATAATTCTTTAAGTATTCTATCAGTAGTATAAGGTATTTTGTAACATAATAGGGTAAGGTACAGTGGTAGACACAATACTGTTGCAAATGTTTTAGCCACGTGGTTCATTTCTTGCTTGCTTGTAGTAATATTGTATATAGTTAAAGAATCAATTAGATTATCTTAATGGCAGGGAAAAGTATGTGTTGATTTCTTGAAAAGGATAAACGTACAGAAGTTTGCTTGTCAATGGTCAAACATCACACAGCCAAAAACAAAAAACAAAACTCCTCTCTGAAGATGACTGTAATGTATATAGCAATATGTGTGTTAACCATTGGGCTGGGAATAAGAAATCCTGGACTGAGCCTCGACTCTTCCTATTTCCTCAGCTATAAAATAAGTGGGCTGAATTATGCTGTAGAACTCATTCAGCAATAAAATTCTGTGTCTTGTAGGATTTTTTTTTTTAATTTTCTTTTCTTTTTTGAGAGAGAGAGCATGCAAGTGGGGGGAGGGGCATGGGGAGAGGGAGAGAGAGAATCCTGGTAGGCTCCGTGCTCAGCGCAGAGCCCGAAATGGGGCTTGATCTCACCACCCTGAGATCATGACCTGAACCGAAATCAAGAGTCAGACACTTAACCGACTGAGCCACCCAGGTGCCCCTTATAGGATTTCTTCTTTGAGCTCTCAGAAATTGGTATGCAGCAAAATGTTATGTCCAACCATATATCTCTATGTGCTTTGTGGTCTTATGCACCTCCTTTCCTTTTAATATAACTGATAGATTCTATAAAGAAATCTTTCATTAATAGTTCAGTAATAGTAATGCAGTTATTCAGTAATAGTAATGTAAATTAGCCTTTCCCACATTATCGAACTATTGAGGTATCCACTATGCACTAGACACTACTCTGGTGCTGGGGATATAGCAGTGAACAAAGTCCCTTTCTTCATGAAGCTATTACCAGTGGGAGAGTCCGCATTGTGTGAATAGAGGTCTGGGTTCTTGGATTCCCCCATGAAAGACTTAGGTGAGGATCTGTACTTGAATAAAAACAGCCAGAAGGAAGGTAGCAAGCATAAAACAGTTTATTAAGGACAGTACACTCTCAAGGTGAGAGAGTGGGCAGGTCCAGAGATGGCAACTGCACCAGGTTTAGAGGCATCTTTTTTCTTTTTTTTTTTTTTGAGGCATCTCTTCTTTTTATGTTTGCATAGGTTATGGGTCACAGCTAGGACAGTCTCCCACTGTGGTGGTTTCCAGTCATCTAAGGGACTCCTTCTGGTTAGGAGTAGGTCCTACTCCCAACTACTGGTCCTATAGGGTTCTTAACAGAACTGTCATGGTCATCTTCCTCCATGGAGGGGAGGGGGTTGAAACCACAATGTAAATATATTTTAATGAAGCTCTCCGTTACCCTGGGGCAGTTGAAGAGGACAGCACACTTCTCCACCCATGGCTCTTGGTCTGTCAGCCCAGGGCTGTTGGAAGCCTTAATTTAGGCCAAGATGTTAAAAGCCACAAAGTCAGGATGTTGTGCCCTCAGGCTTCTAATGTGTCACCTATTTATCATCACCTTTGCCTCCAGCTCATGTCTAACTAACTGTACTCTATCAAAGCCTGTATTCTAATGGGAAAGACTAATGAACTGGCAAGTACTATAGTATGTCAGGTAGGATAAGTTTCAAGAGGAATAGTAAGATGGGATAATATCTGAACAAAGACCTGAATGAAGTGAGGAAGCAGTCTGGAGGCAGGGCTTCCAGACAGAGGAAAACAAATGCAAGTGTGCAAAGCCACAGAAGTAGGAGTGACTGAGAATGCTGGAGCCAGCAGGGAGGAGAGTGCTAGGAGTTGAGATGGCGAAGGTTAGCAGGGCCGGATTGCACATGGCCTGATAGAGCCCATGGCCTGATAGATTTATGGACTTCGGGGTTTGTTCCAAAGGAGATGGGAAGCTCTTGGGACAGTTCTGAGCAGAGGAAGGACAGGATCCTATATTTTTGAAAGGATCACTCAGGCTACTACTGTATGAAGAATAAGCTCTGTAGGGTAGCAAGGCTGGAGGCAGGGACCAGTCAGGAGGCTATGGAAATTCTCAAAGCAAAAAAATGATAGTGGCTTCTAGATTCTGGATATATTTTGGAGGGTGAGCAAAAAGGATTTGTTGATTGATTAGAGAAGGATTTTGAGAGAAACAAAAGAAACAAGGATCACTCCACTAAGTTTTAGCCTGAGCCTTACAAAAAGTCTTTTTATTCCAAATGAGTCCTTGTTTTGCTAATAATTTAATCAATGGGAAATTTAGAGTATATGCATGAAAGGAAGAACAATACTGTTTTAAGTATGTGTTTTAATTTTATTATAAAATTATCTATTTAGTAACCTAGTCATTAGTAATCTATTTATTAAGCACCTCCTATGTACCAGGCCTTGCTGCTTCAAAACACACAAAGATGAATAGCACATTGTCTCTGCCCTGGAAAAAAGCATATAATCTACTGGGGAAGACAGACCTATAAACTGCTAATATAATTAATGTAAATACTAATAATATAGGGCTATGAACAAAATGTTTTCTGGGAGATTTCAAGGACACTTTATCCATGAAATCTCTTAGGAGATGGTATTTAAACTAAGTATGATGAAGAACAGATATTTTCCCACAGATTAGGAAGAGTGTCATTCCAGGCACTTAAGTATTAGGATCAGCCAATTCAAATCTGTATGTGAAAACATTTTAAAGTAACATTATTAATACCAGTTAATACTAATAATACATTTAATTTACAGAAAAAGAAAGCACTAAATCGTGGAGATCATTCAGGTTCTACAAATTCCATATCTTCTCTTAACCCTGTGAAAGAATATGGTGTGTTGTTTGAATGCTCGCCTGAAAAGTGGACAGATCAGAGAAAAGCACCACCAGTTATGGCTTACTGGGTAGTAGGGTAAGTGGGGAGAAAAAGTATTTGAAAGTGAAGTAAAAAGTTAGAAAAGTGAAAGAAAAATGGTAAAAGAGATAACCATTTTAAGATGTAGCCATGGAATTATTAATCTAACTATAATATATATTTTTAAGGCTTTTATTTCTATATTTAAGTAATCTCTCCACCCGACGTGGAGCATGAACTCATGACCCCGAGATCAAGAGTTGCATGCTCTTCTAACTGAGCCAGCCAGGTGCCCCTCTAACTACTATAATATTTTAATACATTTTAGAATTTTGTTTTATTTACTAAGTATCTCCTTTAAATTCCTCTCAAGTCTTTCTTTCTTTTTTAAAATTTATTTTTAAATTCAAGTTTAATTAACATACAGTGTTATATTAGTCTCAGGTATAAAATATAATGATGCCACAATTCTATATATTACCCAGTGCTCATCATGATAAGTGCACTCCTTATTCCCCATCACGTATTTCACCCATCCCCCCACCCAACTCCCCTCTGATAACCACCAGTTTGTTCTCTGTATTTAAGAGTCCGGTTTTTGGTTTGTCTTTTTTTCTTTGTTTGTTTTGCTTCTTAATGTCTACATGTGAGTGAAATCATATGGTATTTGTCATTCTCTGACTGCCAAGGCTTTTTCTATTAAAGTAAAAAGCTGATTCAATTACCTTATAAAATTAACGTAGTAATACGCTAAAAGATGATTCCACAATTTTACTGCTATTCCCTTCCTTCCATCTCTCCTTCCTTCTTTTCTAACCTCTCTCCTTTCTTTTCCTCTTCCTTCTTCTTCTCCTCACTCCCATCCACCAACTACAAGACCCTGCCTGACCTAGCCCTTGCCCACCTCTTTCTACCTTCTATCATTCCTTCTCCATCTACTCTGCACAGCCACATTGGCATCCACTGACTTGTTCCTGCAATCCATTCTGTGTGAAATGTTCTGCCTCTTAACCTTTGTATGTCTGGTTCTTTGATATTCAGATCAGTGCTAGCCTCAAAAAGAGAATCGGGATCTCTTTCCTGCATTAAAGTGGCTACTCAGTTATTATTGACTTTTTTTTTTATTTTATTATGTTATGTTAATCACCATACATTACATCATTAGTTTTTGATGTAGTGTTCCATGATTCATTGTTTGCGTATAACACCCAGTGCTCCATTCAGTACGTGCCCTCTTTAATACCCATCACCAGGCTAACCCGTCCTCCCCTCTAGAACTCTCAGTTTGTTTCTCAGAGTCCATAGTCTCTCATGGTTTGTTTCCCCCACTGATTTCCCCCCTTCATTCTTCCCTTCCTGCTATCTTCTTCTTCTTCTCCTTTTTATTCTTTTTTAACATATAATGTATTATTTGTTTCAGAGGTACAGGTCTGTGATTCAACAGTCTTACACAATTCACAGCACTCACCATACCATATACCCTCCCCAATGTCTATCACCCAGCCACTCCAACCCCCCCACCCCCCACCATTTTCTTATCTCCCCTTCACTAGAAAGTTAGCTTTATGAGGTCAGGAATTGTATCTGTCTTGTCCACCACTGGCACCTGCAACAGCACCTGGCACATAGTCACTTGATAAATATGTAACAATTTAGTAAATGGAGTTGTGCTTCACAAAATGTGGTGGTGGGAGGGTGGTATGGCAAACACAAAGATAAAGTCATAGTCATTGCATGAACGGTCTTATACCCACCAGAAGAAATATGAAATATGCTCAAATATATATGTATTTATGGATAGAGAGAGAGATTTTTTTAGATAGAATAAATTAGTTGATACAGCCAAATGCTATGGGAGTTCTGAGGAAGGGGCAAAAATCTACATTGGGATTATAAGGAAAGGCTTACAGATTCCATTTGATCTAGTTTGAAAATGAATTAGATTTGAATAGAACATTCTAGGAAAAGGACCGAAACAAGGGAAATCATAAGGCATAGCAGTTGAGTAGACTGACTTGCTAGGATAAGGGAGTGACAGATGCAAAGATAGAATGAAAGATCAGGTTGGAAAGCTAAGTTAGGACCACTGCAGAGAGCCTTCAATTCCTGACTAAGGAACTTAATTTTGAGTGAAATGTTGAGGCACTGAAGGTTCTTTGAATTGGGGTAAAGAATTGGTGGAGGAAGGGACACAGAGTTAGGTGAGACCAATGTTACTAGACACCTACCATGCAGTACTAAACTATATGATAAACATTATCCAAAGCAGTGATCCTGTGTGTTGGTCCATGAGATTTAGAATCACCTGAGTCACTTGTTAAAATCAGAGATGCCTGTGGCCCACCCCAGACCTACTAACGGAATCTAGGGTAGTGGGACTCTGTAATTTTAGTAAGCTCCTTGTGATTGTGGTGTGTAACCAAGCAAGCTTGGGAGGAGCATCAGCATAAGCTCAACTCTGTGTAGTGTGATCAGAGCTGTGCTATCGGAAGATTAAGCTAGGAGCAGCAAAGGGCCCGTGGTGTGGACACAGAGAAGATAGAGATAAAAACAGGTGTACATGCAGGTATGCAGCGGAGCCTCACTACATTCACAACAATTGGACTAGAAAGAATCAAGAGGTATTGAATTATGATGATGCAGATCTATATAGAATAGAGAAATTTAAGGAAGTCAGACAAAATATCCCTGATTTAAACTGTCTGATTTACATATACTAGTGTTGACTAAATCTTTAAAAAAATCAAAGTTTCAGTGGTATCTCCAATTCAATACTGTCTGCAAAAAGAGCAATCATACAATGTTTTTGTTGTTGTTTTTTTTAGGATTTTATTTATTTGTTTGAGAGAGAGAGAGTGACAAGAGAGCACGAGCAAGGAGGAGAGGGAGAAGCAGGCCCCCCGCTGAGCAGGGAGCCCAATTCAGGACTTGATCTCAGGACCCTGGGATCATGACCTGAGCCGAAGGCAGACGCTTAATCCACTGAGCCACCCAGGCGCCCTCATATAATGTTTTAATAATAATTAACATTTAGAAAGTAAATGGCAATGTTTAATAGCTATTGTGCTTAATGATGGTAACACAGTTGGCTTTATTGTAACAATAATGACTAAATTTAATATTTTAAAACTGAGGTATATGGTGATATATATTGATAAAATAGGCTTTTTACACCCTGGAAAAATAAAAATAATTTACCTAAGGCATATATTATTTATTTAAAAATAAATCTAGCTGTATTTCCCCCTACTATAGATTTAGATTAGTGGTTTTTAATTCACTATGAATTCTGTCGGAAACAAAAATAAAATAAAATAAATTGAAAGGCTGGAGTTTTTTCCCTTTGGTTTTTGTTTTTTGAATTTCTGAAATGAGTGTGCTTTTCCTCTGCAGGAGACTCTTTCTTCATCCCAAACTTCAAGAACTTTATGTCTGTTTTCATGATTCAGTCACAGAAATTGCCATAGAAATGGCTTTTAAATTGTTCTTTGGATTAACCTTGTAGCTGTGTTTTCTTGATGCACGGCAACTGTGCGTGGAACATTGAACGGTGTTAGAATTGCTGAAACCCATACACAAGAAGATAAGGGTTAACTTCTCTTAACTGTTCAGTTTTGAACATAATAATGTTAAATATTGAGATGATATGCTCTTGGATTTGATGCACTAAATCTTATGTAGTATTGTGAGACTTTTGAAAAGATACTTGATCAAAATATATTTAAAGAAGGGATTGTTAACTTATTTCCATTTTGGTATATAATGTTAATTTATTGACTAGTTTGAAATAAAGTGAAGTGTTTTATATAAGATTAATGGAGGACATATTTATCTTGAAACAATACACAATTCATAAATTGTGTATTGTTCTCAAGACTAATAATAATGTCTGGTAAAAGAATCACAAAATCGGGAGGGTGTGACCAGGTCCTATAACTAATTAGTGCTGGGACCCCGAGCAAGTTTTTGTACCTCTCTGAGTTCAGAATTTTCATTACAAATGAGATGACTGTATTGAGACTTCTAAAGTCCCTCTTAAGTAAAATGTGCAGCTTTTTTTCTTCTTGCCTACTGCTCACTACCTAAATTTGTAATGTCCAAGTACTGATTCCCTATTAGATCAAATTCTTTTCTTTAGTTTAACTGTTTTAATAGATACCTCACCGTGGGGTAGAAGAACTGAGGAATGAAAATTAAACTTATTTTTCTATTTATTTGATTCTCTTTACTATTTCAGGTCAGCTCTGTTTTGACTAGGATATAGTTTTTAAACTATTTGTACATAAACTTTTATTATTTTTCTTTTTATTGAAATATATTCAGGTATGCACACCATCTTATATATATAGTTCATGAATTTCAGGACAGCTATATATAAATCTTTTTTAAAAACCTAATCATGTTAAAAACACTGAAAAAGTTGGGTTAAAGAAATCCTGTGGTGACTTCTTCTGTTAAATACTAATTTTTGCCTTATAAATATGGTTTGTTATGTATTGGGTTTTCACAAAGGAAGGTATCTTAATGAACAATAGTTTACTTGACCTTTAGTAGAGAATGAAAACTAATGGGATAAGAGTTTTCTTTGGCTGTGAGAATTTGGTGGATTGAGAAAAAAGGAAAATATAACAAAATACTGAATTTTTAATTAACATTTACCTAATGGATCCTCCTGAATTCTCACATGCCCCCAAGACTACAATACTGGGTTTTTTTCTTCTTCAGGACTTAAGCTTTGGAAGGGAAATTTTGCCAACACATCTAAAGTCCGTCTCTATTGCCCTCTCCTCAAACGCCTGGAACATGAGCCCTCCAGGTTAGACCTAACTGTAAAACACAGTTGGTGCGCCATTTGAAACATTTGGTCTTAGAAGAAACACTGTTACCTCTTTATAAAGCAGCTTAAGAGATTTTCACCCAGGTATTTAAAATGCAAACCACTGTATTTGTCCTGTTAGTGATTTGTGGGTCTTAAATTTAGCATTTAAATCAGAGCAAGAAACTTCCGTTCTTGAAATGTACAAAATGGCTTGACATATCCTCCCCTTAAGATCACAATATTGGTCAGAATGGCAGACTCTTAACCACTGCCTTGGCCCTGCTTGTAGACATATATGAGTAATAAGGCACTTTGTTTAAAAGTATTTATTCAATGTCTTAAATTTCTTAATATGTCCCCCAAAACACCATGAGCTATTTTCAGTACTGAGATTTATTAAAAATTGTAGCTATTAGTCACCTCAGATTTTCAAACAGACTGAACTAAAACCTGGGATTTTATTATAAGGGACTTTTTTGTTTCATTTAATGAAATTTTGGTCTTTTGAACTACTTTCCTGGTATCAAAGCATCTTCAGACCACCATTCAATAACAAAAATAAAAACAAAATAGACTACTTACCTTAATAAGAGGAAAATCATTTGCTGTATTATAGATGTATACTATAATGTCCATGTTGTAGAGACATTGCGTTTTTAAGAAATAAAACCAGATATCGTGGTTGTCATCTCTAAATGGATATTGAAGCATTGTAACTAAACCTAGCTGCCCATTTTTCGAAATATGTTCAGATACACATCTGAAAGATCAAGTTAATTATTGGCCAATGAGTGCCTATCTGCCACTTTATTAAAGAAAAGGGGACAATGTGACACTGCAGATACCCCAGAGGTGTGCTTTGGCTGATACAGAAACATTCTTAAGTTGAATTTTATGTTCCCTTTCAGACTATTAATGCAAAGGATTATAGAATATCATTTTTTGAAATATCGAGTACTGTTTTATCACCATCATATATCTTTTAGCCCCCCAAAATTACATTTTAGATTCTACACCTTCCTCCTTTCTCCCTCTCCTTTCTTTACTGTTCTTTTGTTTGTTTCTTTTTGTCAGGTTAGAAAACTGTACTTAGCAAGGGAGAGTTTCTTATTTGTGCCAAGGAACTGTTGATGATGATACATACTGGCAAGATAGTAAATTTGCAGTACCTGCTTTTTTATATTTCTGACACAAATGGGGAAAGTCATGAAACCAATTTACTAGGTTTGTCTGCTTTAAACATTCTTGAAAATAATATTGTGAATAATCATTTGTTGTCTGTGTAAATTCCCTCTAAATAGTGCCTGGCACATATCACGTGTGCTATAGAAGTGTTAGCTATTCCTACTACCGCCATTTATTATTATTAAATGTCCAGTGGTTAAAAAAACCAAGGTGTCAGCTAAATCATACCTGCTACTGTACAAAATGTTGGAAAGAAGCTGAGAAAAAATATTCAGCACTAAACACTTTTGAGAACAAGGATGTATACTTTGGATATTTTAAAATATATTATTAAATGTTACTAAAACTTTATACACTAAACTGTGTGAAAATAATTTTGTAGAGTTGTATTTCTATATTCTCTATAATTGAAGCTATTTTTATATTGATAGTCTTTAATAAAGATAGTTTGGAGGTTTATTTGCAGTTTTGTTGTCTTTTCATGCATTCATCCAACAAATAATTGACTTTCTGCTCTGTGCCAAGCCCTGTTCTGGATGCCGGGGATAAAGCAGTGAACAAAACAGCTAAAAATTCCTGCCTTCATGGACCTGATGTTCCCGGGGGGGAGGCAGGCCACAAATAAGACAAATAAGTAAAATATATTGATAAAAGCTAAGAGGAAAAAAAAAAACTGAAGGAAGAAAATGGGATATGAACTGTGAGAACTGGGGTGACCAGGGAAAGGGTTGCCGAGATGATCCTAGACCTGAACTAAGAGAGAAAACTAACCATGCTGATTTCTAAGGAAAGCAGAGTGAACAACTCAAAGGCCCTGAGACTCTATACTTTTAATATCAACATATAAATCACCAGAACTTTTTTTGTTCCCTAAATCAGTAAATAAAATGCAATGCAGCTAAACATTTTTAGCTCAGTGTATTGAAAAGAGCTGATTCATAGCTCTTAAGGTAAAAAAAGAAAAAAAAAAGCTACTTTTGCCATCTTCTATGAATGAGTGTATGTCAGAAATACACTTGAGGATATCATAAAGCAATATGCTATAAACACTGTCAACTATAGAGTCAGAAGGGGGCGGGAGGGAAGGAGGCAAGGAAGGAAGAGAAGATCTCCCTGGAGAGCAACAGAACACTTGCTTTTTCTGAGATGTGTATGATCCCTGTGACCAGAGAGGTTCCTTTGACCTCTCTTGGCACCTTAAAAAGAGTCTTGCCCGGAGTGTGACTCAAGTATTCCCCCTGCCCCCTTAAATCTCTTCCTGTATGCTTGTTAATACTTTCAAATTCCCTTAAAGGAGACCGAAACCTTTCATTATTCATATTTTTGCGGATAAAACATCAATCACTTCTTGAATTTGCAATGGATTTCACAAAGGATTTTGAAGTTCGGGCAATGAGAAGACTTTAAATCTTTTAAGCCTAGGAATAATGATTAATGCAATTGTTTCAGAAAGATTAATCTGGCAGCAGCATGTAAAATGGAGAGAGATTTGGCTGAAAATCCAGTTAAGAGTCAAGCTGCTATGGAAATGAAGATAGCATTAAACATGGTACCAGTAGGACTTGCCAACTGGTTTTATATGAGGTAATCAAAATATAAACAAAATTCCTGCTCTGGAATCCTGGCCTAAATGTGTGGTTTTGTACTAGTGACAAGTCGTATTAAAAGTGCAAAAACACACTTGAGATAATAAAAAACTGGAACCTCAAGTTCAAAAAAGTAACTCATTCATGTTTTGTAGATGTGTTTCAAGACTGCAGGTCCTACAGAGTAAGAGATGATAAAATAGAATCTCTACTTATTAGAAACCATCAAACTAGCTATAAAAAGAAATCAGGAATATATTATATACTATCACAGAAGGATCTCCAGGATGTATAAAGTGAAAAAAAGCAAGGTGAAAGGAAATAGAGCAAGAGACATTATGTGCAGGATAGATGTACATCTACTGTGTATTCTTGCCCAGAGTCAGACCTGAATTTGATAAGCTTCCAGATGAATTCTCAGTGTGCTATGAGTATAGATATCACAAGACCTCTTCTGAGACACCATGAGATAAAAACTTTTCTTATTAATACTGAAACGCTATTTGCCTGTTTCACTCTCATTCTCGCGGTGCAGTGGAGTTTTCCAGCAGCTTACACGATGTGTGGTATTGCAGTAGAGTGGGGACAAGTCAGGCATTAAAGAGATTTTCAAAAATATAAAACAAGGCTATTCTCATTTTTTTTGTTTCGAAAAATAGTTACTTTTTATTTAAAATGTTATTTATATCATAGGTTATTTTAAGTTAATATTTTTAAATTTTCCGTTTCAGTTTCTGAAATGGTATCAATATGTATAACACAAAAACAGAAGCTTCCTTGTGGTCCTAATTTTTTAAGAGTGAAAAGGGGTCGTAAAACAAACAGGCTGTGAAACACTGTTCTAGAACAGGTCATTGGTTCTCAGCCTTGCACATTAGAATCCCTAAGCCCAAGCATTAGTTAAAACAGCCCAGCCCTCTCTCCTTCGGTCAGTATGGATTGGGACCACAGCTCCAGATAAAATTACCAATTTAAATAAAATACAGAAGAAAGAGGAACATGTTAAATTAAGCCACTGGGGTGCTATCAGCAAAGGCAGACTGAAAACGTGACTAGATAAACAATCCCTGCCAAATTAAAGGAGCAGAAATTGAAGAGATTTGTAAGAGAAAATGGAAGGATAACCCTGGTAACTAAAACTAAACTTGGCTTTTAGTTGGTTTGCTACTCTGTTCTAGTTTTGGCTCCTAAATATCCTTATACTGGACTAGCTCTCCCAGCTCCCTTCCTGCACCTCTGCGATTCAGTACCCATGGCCTGCTGACCCTGCGGGCAGCAAGGAAAGCCCCCATGGAGGATTGTCAAGACCGCATTCGGCGCCGAGGAGCCACGTGTCGGAAGTCACGTGGCCGGTGCCGGAAGGCGGGAGGCGGTTGGAGGCGCCTGCGCAGCTCCGGGGAACCCGGGCCCTGCACGCTGATATCCCGGCATCCTGAGCGCTGCTTTCCCGCCAGGACGACACTGAAGCGGTTTTCTGCTTCCCTCCGTCGTCCTTCTCAGCCTTGTTTCCCACTGCTGCTGCTTGTTTTTACCTCCACTGTCCCACCATGCAGCGTGAACCTCCGAAGAAGAAGCAAGAGAAGAAGTCGGAAAAGCGGCTCTTTGACCCCGCATCCTTCGGGAAGGACCTGCTGGCAGGCGGGATCGCAGCGGCTGTGTCCAAGACTGCCGTGGCCCCCATCGAACGGGTGAAGCTGCTGCTGCAGGTGCAGGCGTCGTCCAAGCAGATCAGTGCCGAGGCGCAGTACAAAGGCATGGTGGACTGCCTGGTGCGGATTCCCCGCGAGCAAGGTGCGTACCAGAGGCCACCATGCCAGCCGTTCCCATTCTAGGTCAGCTTCCCAGAAAAGGGGGTGGAGCGAGAGGGGATGGACTGCACCACAGCCGCATCGGTCGGTGATGAGTTTATTTCTTCACTGTGGAGAATTCAGTTTCTTAACCACTCTCAAGAGGCTAGGCTTCCTGGAGCCCAGAAGGCCTATAACGTGACCAGTCCTGGGTAGGAGAGGCCACCACATTCTCTTTCTCTTAAGTTTCTCCTCAACATCAGGATTTACACCTTGGTGCAGTTGTGCCTGGCTCAAAAGGAAAGTGGTTGACCTCCCAGGATTGAGGGAGATGCCATTAGGTACTTGGCTTTATGTTAACAGGTGCTTAAATATTTGTTGAAACAGTACTTTTAAGATACTCCAGGTACGGAAGTGTCGGAGCCTCCCAGTACTCTGGTTCCTATTCAGTGAAAAGAGGTTCTGTTTATTCTTGAGAACTACTGAAGACCAGGGCGGAAACTAAAGAGGCATTCACCCCTACAGAAATTTGTGGAGGGCTCCCAAAACTCAAAAAGACAAATGATATAAATCAAAATGCGAAAAATCCAAGATGAGCAAAATATCAAAATTTTAAATAAAGACAGTAGTATTTTGCATCAGCCCTGCCTTAATTAAAATTTTGATCTTTTTTCATTGTGGAGGGTTTTTTTCCAGGATTATTGAAATGATTTCAAGGAATAAATAATGAAAGTGCTTTGTTAATCATTAAATATCCTCCTGTTGCAGAATTGCTCCTAAGTTAGCTAAGTGGATAAGAGGATAAATTTATCAGCAATTTTCTGTAATTCACCCACGTAGTTGATTTCAGTTGAAAACTCTGTATGAACTTTAAAAAGGATATAGGCTTATTTATTGTGTATTCTGAACAAGAAGTGAACTGGCTTCAACTCCAGTGCCATCCTTTCTTCCACTCCTATGTCTATGGTTACTCTTCCATGAAAAAAGCCTTCTCTCCCTAGGGATGTAGTTACAACTCCTCTTGAGCTGTTGAGTGTAGTATTTAGGGTGGAGTGTAACTCTTTTTTTTTTTTTTTAAGATTTTATTAGAGAGCACAAGCAGGGGGAATGGCAGTCCGAGGGAGAAGCAGACTTCCTGCTGAGCAAGGAGCCCAACGCGCTGGGCTCAATTCCAGGACCCTGAGATCATAACCTGAGCCGAAGGCAGATGCTTAACCGACTGAGCCACCCAGCTCAACCGGCTGATGTCCCTAAGTGTAACTCTTAAGGCATCATCTAAGTTGTAAATTTAGAATGCCCATCTAGGGAGCTGAGCTCAGGTCTTTCATAGTGCTTCATATTTCTCCACTCCCATTTGTTTTATCACAGTAAGCTTCCCATTTCCACCAGGGTTTTTAAAGGAAAAGTGGGAACCTATCTCTTCTTGGGTGATATTCTAAGACCTTTTCAGAGAAGTAAGGGACTCTGTTATCTATTAGCTAATCTGCTTTAAATATTTAGTCAGGTGAAGTTAAATATCCTGGTCAGATTGTGCTGATCAGTGCTAATTCATTTTATATTTTAAGCGTTTTAAATGATATTTAAACCTAAACATATTCAATATGGCTCTTGTAAATTGAGAGCATTCTGAATAGTATTCCAGTCCCTGTTTTCTTTACCTTCCAATGAGATGATCATAAGCAGAACTTTAAGATGTTTTCTATTCTTATATACAAGGCTTTGTTATGAATACACACACCATGGTATATTGTGCTAAGAGATTAGAATTCACAGCAGAGATAATATTGCCACCTAGGGGCATTTTTTTTACAAACTTGTAGGGAATTTTTTGTTTAGCACAAAGATAGAAGGGTGTAATCCTTAATTGCAATGATGTAAAAGGCAAAAACCAGGGATGATAAACATCCTGCTGCTGTACATGGCCAGTCCTACACAACAAACACTTATCCTGCAACCTGAATGACTCAGTTCTCCCACTGGACATTCTTGTAGCAGTAAAACCTGTTTATGATTTTCTAAGCCTAGAACCTAACTCTGATTTACTTATGAACACAAACTATCTGGGACAGTTTCCATATACACTGATCCCAGAAATGCAGCTACCATGTGAGTAGAGGGAATGCTGTACTTTGTTTTGTTAAGGATTGTACCTTATGGGGCGCCTGGGTGGCTCAGTTGGTTAAGCGACTGCCTTCGGCTCAGGTCATGATCCTGGAGTCCCGGGATCGAGTCCCGCATCGGGCTCCCTGCTCGGCAGGGAGTCTGCTTCTCCCTCTGACCTTCCTCCCTCTCGTGCTCTCTGTCTCTCATTCTCTCTCTCTCAAATAAATAAATAAAATCTTTAAAAAAAAAAAAAAGAATTGTACCTTATAAGAGGCACCTGGGTGGCTCAGTCGGTTAAGTGTCTGACTCTTGATTTTGACTCAGGTCATGATTTCAGGGTTGTGAGTTGGATCCCCGCCTCAGGCTCTGTGTGGGACTCTGCACCAGGTGGGCGTGGAGCCTGCTTAAGATTCTCTCTCTCTCTCCCTCTTCCTCTGTCCCTCCGCTCTAAAAAAATTGTACTGAGAACTGTTCACCATTGGGAAAACTCACCAATTCTTCTTGTGATATTTGGTCACCACTTAACTATTGAATTCATGATGATTGTACATTTATATACACCAATATATTTATTAAGCCCTTTTAAAAGAAATGTTAATGGTATCTTAAGTATAACATTCATTATTAAGTAGAGGCAAATATCTGACCATTTTGTCTATGGTGTGTTCATGCCTCACCAATTTACTAATTAAAATACCTATTTTATTCAGAATGTCTTTATTTTCTCTTCCTGTAGAGAGGGCATTATATGGATTTGTAAAAAATTGTTGAAGAGGTCACAGTCTTTGAATCCTATTTCTAGATAGTAAAGGAAGTATTGTAAAATATTTGTTCTGTATAGAGGACTTGAGTCTGGTAAGTTTGAGAATCACTGTGGTAGATCATTCTGGAATTTACTGAGTCAGTCAAGTTCTGAAATTATTTTCTGGAATTTACCTTCTGTCATTTTTTTGAAAATCAAGACACATCTCCATCTCAAATGTTCTGAAGTTTCTTTTGTGTTTCATGTTTGCTCTAATTTTACTGATAACTTTTCTGTAGGCAACATGAAATGAGCCTGAGAGAATGAACTCCTTAGGCACAAGTAGATGCTCTCACACTATCTTACCTTATCTCTGCTTTCTTTCTACTCCAAAGATAGATCTCTTCATTTTAAAGCTCTGAACTTATCTTTAAACATCTCTTTGGGTACCTTTCATACTTCTTATAAGCTTTCCTTGGCTTATGAAATCTTCTGGATTTATCTTGGCTGATGCTATTCTTAAAGATTTATTCTATTCTTGGGGCGCCTGGGTGGCTGTCATTAAGTGTCTGCCTTCAGCTGAGGTCATGGTCCCAGAGTCCTGGGTTCGAGCCCCGCATCAGGCTCCCTTTTCAGCGGGAAGCCTGCTTGTGTTCGCTCTCTTGCTGTGTCTCTCTGTCAAATAAATAAATAAAAGATTTATTCTATTCTTTAGTTGGTTGTAGGACCTTCCAACTTCGTGTGCATTTAATTTAATGCTGTTTAATCCTTTATTATACAAATAATGCATGTTTATTATAGAAAGTTAGAAAATATAAAGAAGCAGAAAGTAAAACAAATCACTACTAAAATCACCACAGTTAACATTTTGGTGTCTATGCAATAATTTTTCACTGGGCACAATATGCATATATGTAATAATATTTTAAATTAAAAGAATTGTTTTATTTAATACATTGTAAACCTAATCTTTTGAAGATCTGATCTATGCAGCTCATTTTTAAGCACCTACCAAATCTCTTTTCTTTTTTAGGAGTTTCTGGCCATGAGGTTTTTTATATCTTGAAAACAGTGTTTTGGGGTATGGAAAGAAAATATTAGGCATTCACTTTAAATAAAATGGGAAAATAAACTATGATATTTGGTATATGAGTTGGCACTGGCACCTACGCTTGGGCCAAATGTGAATTATATATTACAGGACACTAAGGCATTCTGGAAAAAAGTATGAATTACACACTGGAGAGGGGATGACATGCACCCTTCTTCAATTATTATATAATAAACATAGTTTATGTTTGCTCAATTGGATTTATAGAGACAAGAAGGCTATTTGAATATTTGAAATGATGAAGAAGACTATTTGAAACATAGATTCATGTATACTGTTCTTAAGAATGAACGTTACCCTAAGGGTGACTTGAGATATATAGCAAATGATGGTATGAAAACATCATGATTAGTAAGATACCTAAAAATGCTGTTTAATTGTTCAAATGAATGCTGAGTTATGCTCTAATATCTCCTAGCCAGAAGTTTTTCCCAACCACCCTATCTAAATAGCCCTTCCTCATTCCTCCATCTCCATATACTATTTTTGTTCTTATAGCCACTTGACATATTTATTTGTTCATTGTCTGTCTCCCTGGTCCCTCTCTCTCAAAATACAAGCTCTATAAGACCAAGAAATGTATTCTTAATGCTATCCTCAGCAAGTCAGCTACGTACTAGGTACCAAATAAGAGGTTTTTAAATGAAAAAATCTTTATTTCATCCTTTAATTTCTATTTTGGGTATATTTTACAAATGTGCATAATAGAGTAGTATAGTGGAAAATGTATATAATTTTTTTAGTATATACATATTTGAAAGTCATGCTTACATATTTTTTACTGATAGGCATATTGTCAAAACATGTTGTAGCCCACCAGTCTAGAATATTTATACCCAAACATGCCTAGCATTCTCATTCTTGGCAAATAAGTTCACCAGTAAATGACTCTGTAACTTTTTCTCATTTCCCCATCAGATCTATTATAATTATTATTTTTTTTAGTTTCAAGTTTTTATTTAAATGCCAGTTAGTTAACATACAGTGTAATGTTAGTTTCAGGTGTAGAATTATATACAACACCCAGTGCTCATCACTACAAGTGCCC